GGTCGGCGCCCGGCTCGCTGCTGTCGCTGCTCTCCAGCTCCTGTTCGCGTCCTCGTCCAGCGACGACTGCTTCATCAGGCCTAACGACGGAGCGGCACACCGTCAGTTCGACCCCGCTGAAAGAGATGGGCCGGCGCACCGAGCCAGCCCGGCCAAGGTCGCTTCGAATGACTCTGTACCAACCCACACGCGGGGAACCGTTTCGATTGCCAGTTTGCGCACCGTGTCGGGTACGCCCCGTGACCGAAGCAAAAATAAACGATTGCCAAAATCGAGCGACGTCGAAGTGTGTAGTTGCCACGGCGGGACAGCTGTCTGGTGGGAACGTGGAACGCCGTTAAGAGACAGCGCGGAACAATGTCCGACACAAGCAACGACCTCGCGCGTGTGAGAGCAGTGAGCGATTACGACGCCACCAAGTCCAGCGCGCATTGACGGTCTCGCAGGCGGACGACTTCGTGGTACAGCGTCAAGGCGAAGACGTGAGATGCGGAAGTACGGCACTGTGCCTGGCGGCGGATGGGGCCGTGGCAGGGCACACAAAGCCCACCGACCCCCGCCGCGCCCACTCACCCTCCGCAGCAGGCGGAGCGACTGGGCGCGGTGCTGCGAGTCGGCCACGTCGACGCCGCTGAGCGGCGGACTACTGCAGCGCATGGTGCGCGTGCGCTGGGCCGTGTCCTCGGGCACGGGGCCAGGTGCGCGCGGCGCGCCGCGGTCCCGCATCCGGCGCAGCTCGTCCGAGCCGCCCAGCGTCACCAGCAGCACCTTCCACACCAGCAGCAGCACTTCTTCATGGGGAAGTGCGCGTGGCGCCGCTGCAGAAGCGGGCCACCATGCCCAGCAGCGTCACCACCACCAGCTCACCGTTGTCCTGCGGCAGCACTGCGGCCGCGCAGCGTCAGTCGCCGACGGCGGTCAGCCAGAGCCTCGCGACACATGGCGCCACGCCGCCGTACTATGAGCGGCAGGTGACGCGGCGGGCGGGTCACGGCACAGCTCTTCCTCCACGCTTCAGTTGTACACTGGTGTGTCGGTGGCCGGCGGCGCAGCGCACCCCCTGGCTGACCCCGCAGACAAGCACTGATCGGACACTCAAACGCACAATTTACGCCCAGGGCAGGCCGGCGCGAAAGGCGCACAGTTAACCCATCACCATCCCCGGTCGTCAGTACGGAGCCGCAGCCGAGTCGCCCGCGATGCTCCCGAGCTGCACGGTGGGCGGCACGCACTGCCATACATTGAGCCACGCCCGCGACGAGCGCGGCGCCTCGCGACCGCCCGCCTGCCCTGGACGGCCACTCACTGAGCTCGGCCTTGAAGTTCTCACGCAGCTGCGTGCACGGGTCCAGCTCGTCCGGCACGCGCATCACCTCCACCATGATGTACAGCACGCTGAGCACCACGCGCAGGTCCGTGGAGTCGGCCAGCGAGACGGCCAGCTTGCGCAGCGCCGCGCTGGCCGTCGTGCCGTTCCTGGCAACGCGGCGTTCCGCGTGAGCGCGACGGCGGCGGGAGAGGCGGGGAAACGGGGGGGGGGGGGGGGGGGGGGGCGGCCCGGTGACCGACACTGCGTCGCACAGTGAGAACACAAATGACGCGGGAGCTTCACTGGAGTGGCAACGTTAACTACCAATTTGCCCAAGGTAAATGTCTATGCGAGCTTGTAAGGGGCTGCCCATCAAAATACGGGCGTCAGGCAGAAACTGAAAAGATGTTTTGGAGCAATAAAGTGAAGCCGTGCCTGTGTGTGGTAGCAGAGATAGGAAGACACGGACACTCACTCGATTTCGAGGTAGAGTAGCTCGAGGAAGGCGGAGAATACACCGCACTTGTATAGCAGCATAACGTTGGTTCTGGCCCAGCTCGCCTGCTCCTCGTCCGACTGCACTTCGGCCCAGCAGCCCTGGGCTATATACAGCAGCGCCCGCATCGCTGCCGTACGAACGGGGGAGTCAGCGCAGCTGGGGACGAAGCACTACCACAGACACTAGGGACCTTCTGCACATTAGCGCCCGAAACCCTGTCACGAGACACAGGAATGACAAAAACCGAGAGCATGACCAAGTGTTCTCTACCAGTGGTATTGCACAGAGATGTCACCTTTCATGCGGGCATCCCTCCTGGAGAGGTCCAGACGATCCATGAGTTTGAGGACCACAGCCCGGCGCCGCTCGTCGCGCATGCTCTGCCAGCATCTCCCGAAGCCATGCTCGCTCATCAGCTCGTCGAAGCACTGTAATGGGCGCCACAGCTGCGGTGACGGTCCCAGGAGGACGGGCTGAGCAGCACACCAGCCGGGCGCCGGGCTTCACGACAAACTCACAACGGCGCCGTTCGGTGCGCAGCCGCGGACACACGCCCGCTGTCGGTCAACACTGCAGCGTTAGCAACGGCCGGCACAAACAGCTGACAGAGGCTCACAACATGCATTTGATGTTTCATCCCATGTCTGCACAACAGTTAGAAAAAGCTGGCTGGTGTGAGTGGAATTCACTTCTGACCCATAATTGATGATATCTTGCAAATGGCATGTTCGGCTGCTGAACACAGGGCCTGCATCACAAGCTCCCCGGGCCACACCGCACTGGCTGTGCTGCATTGGACCGCACAGGTTGCATGAGACACTTATGTAAATACCTAAAATTTATGTTTCGAGTAAAACACTTGTATGCTATGCCTGGACTGCACCTTAAAAGGGTTCTATTTCAATATCTTCAAGAGTTTCAACCATATGCAGTCATTATAAAGAGCCCTGCAAAACTTATGGTGCTTTGACTATATTTTAGCTTTTACTAAGGCTCACAAGGATACCAGGCATTTCTGGGTGACCGAAAATGTGGGTGACACCACATGCATCAAAAGCACCAGAAGTCACAATTACACAGATATCTATGCATTTCAATACAACAGCATCCATGCATTTTGACATCAAATACAGAACAGCTTACCTTCAAGTTTATCTGGAATTCAGGCACTTCTGTGTAGCTATAAAGCTCTGCAATTTCATTCATGTGAGATTCTGTATCCTCATACTGGAAATCCAGCTCTGGAAACTCATCACCACACTGCAAAGGGAATGATTAACATGGGGTTAGCATTTATGTGCACTGTTGATAGGTGACACAGATGACAGACACAAAGTTCATCATAGACTGTTAGCTAGGGACATTTGCTAAGTTCTTTATTCATACCAGCATTACAAGTATGAAAATCCCTAGGCTTATTAAATCTAAAAGCACCTACCTAAATGCAAAAGCACACAAATTGTGTAAATGCAGATACCAAGTCTTTATTCAGGCACAAAACATTTGAGTCTGGTGGATAACCTACCTCAACTTTCTTTGTTCCGCAGCATGATTTCACGAAGCTTTTCCAAGCCTCTTTGCTTCCATTTGTGTTTGCCATTTGGATCCATGGCAGCTATGGGTGTATCACTGCATTAGCACAAAATATGTATATATATATATATATACATTTATACATATATATATATATATATATAACCATCTTAACCTTAAGCTTCAATTTTTATTTGCAGCAACATATTTTTCTGGCATCAAGAAAACTGATTCTTGTGATTAACAAATTATTTCTTATCTTTTAGGGTGGCTTCCCAGGTTTTTAAAAAGGGAAATAAGACCTATTCAAAATTAACAGCATATCACTTAAACAATACCATATACCCCTATAAGGCTACAGATCTAAGAGCATAGGCTGTTCAAGAGTGAAATAACCTTAAAACACTGTCTTTAACCCATTTTGCAGTTTTTCATTACATATCCATAGCTTGTCCAAAAACAATTTGTACACTATTTTTCATAAGCTACTTTAAGATGTTTCAGGCATCAGACAAAACAAAAGCACATCAAACATGCACACCATTCCACATGGGCTTAGATTGTGCACTCCAGTGTATTCCATATGAGTCTGATATTCCCATGTGTGTTAATTGAAACTTTCATGCTTCAAAGTCATTGCTGCAGACTGGCATTATGTGCCAGATGCTAAGCTGCAAGGTAATGTACAAGAAGCCATGGGTTATTAATCCAAACATGATTCCATCCAATGCAGCCAAACCAAAGCAGTACTGGTGTGCTGAACCTGATACACATATATGCCAGACTCAGTGTCAGACAAAATGAGCTGAATTTTGAGCACAATTTTGCTTAAAAATGCTTTCAGCTACTCTCATTTAAAGAAATGAAGTCAGCATTTCAATTTCTTTTGATACACTGCCTCTATGGGTCAATTGCTGCAAGGCTGCTGCCCCTGTGCTAGAGATGCTTAGGGTCAGGCATTTTTCTTGTTGTCAGGCTGGATCGTTTCAGCATAAGCCATTTGCGAAATCAGAATTTAAGCAGTCAATGTGGAAAAGGCAAAGCAACAGAACACAAATCATTGTCATCGGAATGACAGTAACGCAAGTGCACCACGGAAAAAGGAGCACCAATCAAGTGATCAAACTACGTGCCCAGAGCCTTACAGATTTCATCCTAACAACCGGAACTCCATTCCCTTGGTCCCGTGCCTCTATCACATTCTCCATCACAGCTGATGTGTCGAATAGGTCAGCATATTCACAACTGAAAAACAATTAAAGGCACACATACAATGATGACAATAGAACACAAAGGTACTACTACACCTCAACCGTTTGTTGTAAAACACGGACAGCCGCCTCTCGCACCCGCCCACCGTGCCTTTCAGAGATAGGGCGCCCACAATGTACGGTCGAGAATATCCCACTGTTTCTGTGTGCAAGTGTTCCAGGGTTGAATTTTTGCCGAATGTGGCGCACGAAGGCAAAGGTTTTTCTTGCATAACGAATACCACACTTTAGCATCAAATATCTGAAGGGGACTGTTTCAGCTTGTGGTAGAAATAAGCGATTTCTAGAACGAAGATAAAGTTTGAAGTCCTGTATGTCTGATAATATGAAAAGTATGTGCGTTTTACTGATAAATTGATCGAGATAAGACCGATCGTACAATTAGGGACATATGTGTTTTCTTTGGAGGCAATGTAACTGAACTCGGGTATTGCGAAAGGGAACACAACAGGAATCGTGTGGAGAACAGCGCAGTAATCCGGTCGCTGGCCTTCCGATGACAGCGGGGTAGCATGAACTGTTTGTTTTCTTCCTTGCCGTCGTAATAGCATTCTCAAGCTCATTGGGATACTAAATTAACATCTGTCATGCATCAGGGCATATCCGAAGAGGAGTTCACTCAGCTCCAGGTGAGACGCAACCGTAGAGGTGTTGACATGTCCGTTTGAGCTAAATGCTTAAGTTAGGCAACACATTTTTAGTGAAGTGGGATCAAATGACCACCATTGATAGCTTTTTAGCTTAAGCAGTCGATAATACTAAAAAAACATCTTGCATCCATGGTTGGAAACCACCACTGGGACATGTGAAAGCATCCCTGTTGAGAATATGAGAGGAGAAAGCATCCTCCAAACACACTAGCTTGCTAGCCGAGTCTAGATGCCATCCGGTCTTTTGAGCCTTGACTTCAACTCTGAATTTTGACTTTGAACTTCTTTGATTCTTGGGCAGGATCAGCCTGAGGTTGATTAACTGACCTCTTGGCCCCCAAATGTAAAAAGTACCATTATGCTGGACATGCCCATTTTAGCAGCAACATTGCAGTACAAATTTCAGAGCAGTTATATCATGTTTGGTGCATGATGCATGCCAATTACGGTGCACAGAGATCTGGTGTGTTAGAAAATTATGACATCAAGGTACTTCAGACAATGGTCAGCACAAACTTCACTTAAAACAGAGCTTAGGTTGGATGTGCACAAAACAGGTTGTAATCTGGTGTGTTAGATGAACTTTTGCAAAGTGTGAAGGCACATTTTATGCTGATCATGTTAGGCACAGTGGTAAAACTGTGCAAACATTTATTTGCATTATACCATGATTCCTGATGCCCACAGTTTGGTGTCTAAGCATTACAGGGTTCACCACATCAGGAATCAATAATTCAAGAAATTGTAATATTGTTATGGTAATTCTAGCAATGATACTCTAAGCACCAAAAGCATTGGGGCTTAAAAGCACTAAATGTTTTGAATGCTAGGTTGATGTTATGTGAGCAGTGATGGTAGTGGTCTAGTCTGCAAAAATCCTGTGTGCTAAATCTACACTCATGTGTATTAAACTCAGGCAAGGCCAACTTGTGCCAAGTCCAAGGCAGGCAAAATCTTGCTGAATTTTTAACCTGCAGTAGCTGAAAAGGTTTCAGAGTATTTTTGCCCAAAATTGCCTATACATCATAATTCTCTGAAACATTGGCTCTTTCAGTGCCAAAGTTAGTGGAAACTGCACACTGAATCTCATTGTATTTCAAGTTTGCATGCAAAATAGACTGTAGCTTGTAATTGCCTATCGCAGGAGGACATGGTGCTAAAGGACGCAGGTGTTAGCAGTGTGGATGGGCAGGCCCACAGCTCTTGTTCGCTCTGAGCATCATAGGGCACTGGCTGTCCCTACAACCTGCAGCACAGCTCAGCCCTGTTTGGGTGTCTGCTTTGACAGCAGCATGTAGTGACCAGCTCATTAAAACACACTCTGTGGCTGCTACATTACAAACAAATGTCTTTTTTGTCAAGAATGCCAAAAAACTAGGGGAGCTTAAGTTTCAAAAACCTGCTGAGATGATAGCCACACACACTAACACACATATCCCTCTTTTCAAGGGGTGACTAGTTGGCACATTTCAAACTGCAATTTGCCAGCACTTTTAGCACCTTGACTTTTGCTGTATGTTGATTGCCAGGAAAACTATTCAAACATAAGTTGAAAACTGGCAAGGCATGGCATTAAGCAGCAATATTCTGGATGAATCAGTGAAAGATGGGGGGTGTCTGTTGTGGCCAGTGCAGTTTATTAAAAATGTGTGGAGAAAGGTGTCATTTTGAAAGTTGTCTTGACTGCACAGATGTGCCATCCCAACATACGTGGAATGTATGCTTCCATTATGACATATGACTGTATGACATCTGAATGTATGACATGTGACTGTATGCCATCTGAGTGTATGACATATGGCTGTAACATATAATTGTACAATTGAAGAAATCTCATGTTTTCCTTTCTTTTCAGAATCAGTTTTTGGCATTAAAGGCCACAAACTATGCACTGGAAGAGGACAAAAGAAAGCAAGCATCAGGTATAACCTCCCCACTAGCCAGTGCTATACCATCCGACATTGTGGTCTGCCGGGTGGCGTGTCAGGCGTAATTCTATTCTGCTACTGAAGTATACTCTCAAAGAGGCTACAGGTTGCTCTGTCAGTGCCAGCTCCTTGCATCTCTCAGGCTGAAGGTGTGGTCAGTGTAGTGTAGCAAGCCAGACAGCAGCCGAGCTCCGCACGTGTTATCCTGCCTGCGAGCATCACACGTCTCTAAAGCAGGTCGCGGTAGCACGTGAGCAGCTGCAGAATGAGCGGCGAGCCCCTCTGGACGGACAGTATGACGCCAGTCTGGCCGTTGCAGTGCTGGCCGAGCATCAGAGTCGGCTGCAGCGGTCCGACCGCGAGGTGGCGCGCCTGCAGCAGGTGGTCGACAAGAGCAAGAAGGCGCGCGAGGTGGAGCTGATCCTGCAGACCAATGCCAGCCTGGAGAAGAAGCTGGTCTCGCAGGAGGACGACTTCCGGCTGCAGAATCAGACGCTGCTGCAGGAGCTGTCCGTGGTACGGATCCGGCGGTCGGGGACATGTGGCTCTGATGTGCTGTTTATTCAAACCGTAATTGTGATTACGTCCTGCTTTGATTGGCTGGGCTATCTTGAGTGTCACCTGATGTCATCTGGAGAGTGCAGTGGTTCAGATGTAATTGTGTTCAGTATTATACTGTGTAAGCAAATTGATATATGGGTTGACGGCCATACTGTGCTTTCTGGTACTAGTATCCTAACAGGTTGCTATGGTTTAGTTCAGAAAGAACACAAGATAATGCTTTTGTACTTCGCAGCTTACACACATCGAGGGTGACATGTCTCATTTGGCACAGCAGTTCTCTGAGAAAGATCCGTTTGCTTCAGTACGTTTCTGCAAATGAGAAGCTGGAAAATGAGCTGCAAGCTCTCCAGGATGGCAAACCGGAATTGCTGGAGTCACGGTATGCTGAGGAGGTGAGAGAAGAAGTGTCTTGCCTTCTTTGAGATGTCGGTCCCCCCCCCCCCCCCAAAGGAACGAGTGAAGGTTCCTGTCACACAGCCTAGCTGAAGAAAAAAGGTTCCCTGCAATACCCCGCTGTCCAACAGGGTTCGGCAGGGTCGGCAGCGGCGCAGACCATCCACGCGTGCCTGTCGTGCGGTGGCTGTGCCCGTCCCAGCTCGCCTGTCCTCGCGCTCCGTCCCGCTGGCGGCTGAACGTCGCCGCCCTCTACGGGCAGATGCTACACCTGCGCGCCGAGTCAGAGGCGCTGCGCCAGGAGCTGGCCGCCGTGCGCGACCAGACGGCCACCGAACTGGCCCAGCTTCGGCATAAGGTGGCCGCCCTCACCGAGGTCAACGCCCAGCTGGAGCGCGCCGCCCGGCCCGACGACGCCGACCCGTGAGTGTGGCGGTCCTGACCCGTGAGTGTGGCGGCTCTGACCCGTGAGTGTGGCGGTCCTGACCCGTGAGTGTGGCGGCTCTGACCCGCAAGTGTGGCGGCTCTGACCCGCGAGTGTAGCGGCCTCGACCCGCGAGTGTGGCGGCTCTGACCCGCGAGTGTAGCTGCCCTGATCCGCGAGTGTGGCGGTTTGCAGCGGCTCCGACCCGCGACTGTGGCGGCGCTTGGTACCTCTGTCGACTGGGAGTTCGCTGTAAGGTCTGGCTGTGTAGATGACAAGCTCAGGGGACCACTGACGCCTTGTTCTCGGACAGGGTCTTGACGGAGGACTCCGAGTACGTGGAGGTGGGTAGTGCCGAGGTGTGCTACAAGAAGGCCGCCAGCAGCGCGCACGAGCTGCTGGAGGTAGCTGAGCAGAGGATACAGGAGCTGCAGGAGGACATTCAGCAGTATGCAGGTGTGTTCTGTTATGGGCCTCAACGCCGACGCTCTGCCAATGTCTCGCGGACTTTGGAATGAATAGGTTTTCATTGGCTAATGAAACAACACCATATGGTGCCTACAGCGAACGTGCTGTCGATGACATATGATAAAGATCTGACATCCGACATTCCCGTGATTGTCGTCTGCTCTGTTTGCGCGTTTATCTGCCCGGCGGTCATGTGTGTAAGGGATTTACGTGACTACCAAGGCCATCCTGTGACGTGTTTGACACCTGTGACGCGGTCAGTGGCTTACCAGTGGCCTACCAGCGGCCTACCAGTGGCTTACCAGCAGGCCACCAGTGGCTTACCAGTGACCTGCCCGTGACCTATTGGTGGCCTACCGTTGCTTGCCGGTGGCCCACCGGTGAATGTTGGATCTGTGTCCCGGCAGTTGACCAGCCCTGGTCGTTGTGATGGACCCTTCCAATGCCCCGGTACTGGCAGACATGCGCCTGGCGCTGGACACCACCCGGCGCGAGCTGGACATGGCGCGCGACGAGGCCCGCCGGCTGCGCGACGGTGGCGCCGCGGCCGGCCGGGATCCGGAGGCCGAGCAACTGCCGGCCAAGCTGGCCAGAAAGCAGGAGAGTTACCTGCGCCTGCAGGAGGAGATGGAGGCGCTGCGGCAGAGCAAGCAGTGAGTTGGCGGCCACCGGACGGCGCGGTCGGCCGCTCGGGCGCGGTGCGTGATCAGGGATTAGGGGATTGCCGTTGGTGCAGACCCCCCACACTCTGTGCAAAGTTTAAGATAACCATAAGATAGTGCTTGGAAAGAATGATGAAGTGTTATGTTCACCACTTTCCACGTGGGTAGAGGCTGCACCGCCACTGGGCAGTGGAGGGGTATGCTGACGCGGTGTGAAGCACTTTGTCCACATGCGCGTGTGTGCACGTGTGATTTGGTACACCGGCGCGGTACTGATCACCGGCTTGCTGCGGCCTGGCCAGGTGCTCTATTGTCTCGTCCTTAAAGGGCGTGTTTTGTTTCATTGCACCTCCCACTTGAAACTGGCGCCACTTCGTGCGAGGAACCAGCTGGCCGCAGCCGTCGGTGTGCCCAAAAGCACGACTAGCATCAACGGCTCGGTAACGGTTGTTGTCCGGCGGTCCTGTTGACCCCGAGCGCACCCCGCTGGGAAAGCGGCCCGTTCGTGCTCCGACGTGCGCCGTGTCGGGTGAGGCCTGAGCGCTGCCCGCTCTGCCTCAGAGCCGAGATTGACGACCTGCGGCTGCAGCAGCAGAGGGACGCCGCCGAGGCCAGGGAGAGAACGCAGCGCTACCAGACCCAGGTGCGTGTGCCGGACAGCGGCGCGCCGCCGCCTGCGCCCCCGCAGCCGCCGCGATCGCGGCTGGGGTCAGGGCCGGGGCCGGGGCTGGAACGGATGGTCTGGTGGTAACTAAAAGAGACAAGTGGTGTGTTCTGGTGAATTGGCGGTTTTGCGCGAGGGTGGTGGAATACTGAGAGTCGCACCAGGAGTGTTGTCCGGCACAGGCTCGTCAGCTTGTGTCGCTGGTTTCAGCTGAATAACGGCTACAGCGTACTGAAGGCCGAGCGAGAGAAGTCTGCGGCCACCATCAAGGACCTGACTGACCGGCTGAGAAAACATGAACCCGTGGTCAGTTGCCTCTCATAGAAACGTACTACATATCGACATGGCTCTTAACCAACTGGTACAATTCTGTTGCCGTGCTTGTCATTAACGTGTTGCGATGTCTTTTGAATGGCCTTCGCGATGGAGTCCCTTTTTTGTTATTGGGGACTTTTGCACGGGACGGGGAATGTCTTGATCGACCAAAGTTTCCTCGCTCTACTTCTGACGCTGATTGAACAGTGATGTGCTGATTGTGCTTCTACTGTAGCGGGTATCCGCACTGCCCTGTGGTAATCTGGATTGCCGCCCTGGTGCGTACCTCATCGTCAGTGCTGGTTGCCGCAGGAGCCGGCGGGGGAGCAGCAGCAACAGGAATCGGAGGTGGGCGCCGGCGACTCTGACCAATCGGCGCCGTCGGCCGAGCTGGCGCGCCTGACGGAGCAGGCGGCGGCGCTGGCGGAACAGCTGCGCGCCGCCCAGGCCTCGCTGGCCGAGACGACCGAACGGCTGCGACACACCGAGGCCGAGGCCGAGGCGCAGCGCGAGGAGGGCGAGGCGCGCATCGCCGACGCCGAGGCACGCCTGCTCGAGACGGAGACGCGCCTCGCCGAGTCGGAGGCGCGCCTGGTCGCCACCGAGGCGCGCCTGGCTGAGACGGAGACGGACAGGGACGACGCCAGCAAGGTACACCGGCTGTGGGCGCGCGTGACCGCGCCGACGGTCCGCCCGAAAACCCGCGTCGTCGTTGGTCCCTGGCGGTGCTCTTTGGCCTTGCAGCCCCGCAGCGGACTGTGACAGACAATGATGGCCTACACAGCTCGGACAGTGTCTGATCGGTGTAGACCATCTTACCTCCCCCGGCCGTCGCCGCCACCCCTCGCCCGGCGGCCTGGGGTCTGCGGTCTGTGGTCTGTTAAATGCGGAGTGGTCCGATGACGGGTCCACCACTGACGGCCGCGTCCTCCGGCAGTTGGCCGCGAAGCGGAAGAGCGTGCTGGACGAGATGGCGGCGCACATCAATCAGCTGACTGAGGAGCACGCCGAGGTGCTGAAGACAGCCGGCGAGGCGCGCGACCGGCTCCAGACGCTGGTCGACCAGCGCACCGACGAGCTGCAGGTGAGAGGAGACGCCCGGCGTCTGCGAGACGTGCCGCATGACACGGTTTGTGTGTCTGTCTGTCGCCGCACGGGTCCTGACGCCGTGTCGCACCTGGGGTTTATTGCCGCACCATCATCAAACGCTGTTGCGCCGCCTTGCATCGGCGCGGTCATGACGGCTGGTGTGGAAACCCGCCTGCCTGCCGTGCACGAGACCGTTGTGTTGGCGCCGGTGGCGCGCCCTGCACGCGACCGGGATAACGTCGTACTGGGCCGTGCCGGGTCGTGATGAAGAGGGGACACCCAAGCTGACTGTCTGCCCCTCAAGAGGCCGACACGAGCGCGCGCCGGCCTGTCGTGTCGGGGTCCGTCATCTCAGCCCCTCCGTCCGCCGCAGGGGGCCGGCCAGTGCCTGGCGCAGACGGAGGCCGACCTGGGCCGCGCCCAGGAGTCGCTGGAGTCGGAGCGCCGGCTCCGGCTGGACCAGGAGCGCCGGCTGGCCGAGCGCGAGCGGGAGCACGCCGCTCGACTGCAGCGGCAGGAGCAGGAAGCGGCTGAGGAGCGACAGGAACGCACCCGGATGGAAGAGGCGCACAGCGAGCGCGTCAAGGTGAGAGCCCGGCCAGCGGACGGCCGGTCCGCTAGAGGTGGACCCGGGGGCGTTTCTGGTTCGCTTACAAGTACGCGTCTGGTCAGCAGACCCGGTCTGCCCGGACAGGCCGACCTCTGGCTCGTGAGGCGGCGGTGTCGGCGGCGCCCTGACGCTCCCACTCCTGCAGGACCTGACCATGCAGCTGGAAATCACGTCCGCCCAGCTGGCCGAGTTCAAGGAGAAGGCCGCCGCCCTGCGTCAGGAGGTCAGTGTCGTCGGCCTGAGCCTGGACCGGCCGCCTCCCGACCGGGGCCTCCCGCTGCCGCCGTGTTGGGCCGGCTCCGGCGCTGATGACGGCAGGTGTACGGAGAGGGGCGGAATCTGAACCCTTTTGGGTTCGCACTTTCTGTCGATGTCCCAGACGGCTCATGTGGTGAATCACTTTCGTGTGGACCACAGTTGGCTCGATGTTTTCCGTTCAAAATGCGCGAAAATTGTGGGTTTTCTCCTCTTGTCCCGCAATTAACACTAGTTGTACCAGCCGCCACTCGCCATTTCGTTAAGAACTGGATGAGAGCGCACCGTATGTCGATCACGTCATGCGGCCCGTGTGACGACCGCCGTGCCACGCCGGCCAGGTGAAGGACAGCGTCGACGAGAAGCGGATCCACGAGCGCAAGGGCGCGTCCGTCATCAAGGACCTGCGACGTCAGCTGGCGCAGGAGCGCCGCCGCGCCGACAAGCTGCAGCAGGCCCTGCAGGACGCGCCGCTGGCCGACAAGCCAGGTACGCCTGGAGCTGAGGCCGGCGCGCCGCCGACAAGCGGGGCACGTGCTGGGTGGTCGACACCTCTGGCCGACGGGCCAACTGCGGCATCAGTCGAAAGCACAGTCAGATGATTGGTCGGACCCTCGCAGAGTCTGTCCTCTGGCTGTCAGCAGAGGCCATCATAGAGCAGGCCAACGGAATACTGCAGTATTTTTGCCTACGTCTCATTCCATGTTATTCATTGGAATTGTGGGAAAGATGCGTTGCGGCACAAAATTTACGAAGCGAAGCGTCCGGCGCTGTTGGTGAGTTCCCCACCGAGCATGTTCGGGGCTCGCGCGGCCTGTCTTCCGGCCACCTGTTCCACCGCGCTCGGTCGGCACGTGACTGCACTGGGCCCTGCTCCTCACGCCCCTTCGCCCCGCAGCCGAGCTGTCGCCGCCGCCGCCGCCCGAGTCGGACGTCCAGTCCGTGTCCAGCTGGTCGCTGATGAGCGGCGAGAACGGCGCGCCGTCGGCCAACGGCAGCGGCGACTCGCCCGTCGACACGGAGACGGTCGGCCTGCTGGCGCGCATCACACGGCTCCAGGTGGGCCGCCGCTGGGCCGCCGTGTGCGGCCGCTGCTCGGCTGCCGCGGATCGCGCTGCCGGCGCCGCCGCATGTGGCCGCTGCTAGATATTTGGGCAGGGGCCGCCCCGCCACCGTAGACACGGTTACTGTCTGTCCAGCTCGAGACGTCTTTTTCGACGCATCTCTCTCACTCGTATCTGAATGTTTGCGGGCTAGGGTGTACGGTGCCGGCGTGTGGACGCAGGCACCGTGTGCTATCTTTGGGCATGACGAGCCCTTTCTATATATCGCTGCTCCCTTGTGCGGCTCGAGCTGTGCGTGCTGACGCACGCCGGCACGGAGCGTAGCCTCTAAAGCTGTGAGTTTTGGAGAGGAATTAATCGCGCCTTGCTGTGAGCCAGCCGTGTCGGTGCGGCGTGCGCCGCGGACGCCGCCGCGTGCCACCGTGTCTTGCTGACCGCGCCCCGGCGGCGACAGGAGGAGAAGTGGCGCGTGGAGGAGAAGCTGAACCACCTGGAGCAGAGCAGCGGCGCGCTGGCCGACGACCTGGCCAGCAAGGCGGCGCTCATCCAGTTCTACTGCATGGAGGGCCGGCAGGCAGCGGCGGCGCACGGTGAGGGCGTGAGCGCAGTCGCGCCAGCCAGGTGGGCCGGCTGCCGGACTGGCCGCTGGCGGAGTGCCGAGGTCGCGGGGTCAGGGGGTCAGTGTGAACAACCGGATGGCAGGTCCCGACACGCCAGCGATAGCGGCGGCCTCCTGAGAACGCCAGACAATCGGCTGTCCTGTTTTGTTGGGGAAGCGGTCTCGATTACTCTGTTGTCTTCGTCGTGACTCGACAGTTTTACTCGTCGGAAGACTGCTGACGCGACAGATCTGATTGTCTGGCCACCAGATGCCTCGTGCCAGATTGTGGAGCTTTATTACGTTAATTACTATACTTGACGTTCTAAGAGACTACGCTCTGTAAGGCAACGTTAGTAGCGTCTTCAGCAATCTTGACGCCGGGTTTGATGACAAGAAGGCTGCAGCTCAATGTCAACTGGCAGTGTTATTCTCAGATAGTGTATCCATACCGCGTCAGCAGCGCACTGTATGCTGAGTAGTCGTAAGTCGGACTGCTGACTGTAGTGAGGCCCAAACTCTGAGTGAATTATACGGAAGCGCTCTAACCGTTAACGCCGGCAGCACCAGCATTAGGTGACTTATTTCGGTTGCTGGTTGTGGCCACCAACCTCGCATCGCCGTTGCGGCTATTGATCAGCCTCTTTTGACGTCCTGTGACTTCACGTGTTGCACTGTGACGTCATCTGACGCGGCGGTCTGTCGGCAGCGTCGTCCGAGGGCCTGGCACCGGTGAAGAAGCTGGTGGACTTCGTCAAGCATCTGTCGCAGGACGAGCAGCAGCGCGAGATGCAGCGGCGCATGCAGAACATGCTTGAGGAGACGCTCACCAAGAACATGCACCTGCAGCAGAACCTGAAGACCATGTCGGACGAGTTGGTGGCGGCGCGGCGGAAGGCGGCCGGCTGCTGAGACCGACGGGCTCGGCAGACCCAGCGGATGGCAGCTGCAGTGTCACCCGCGCCCAGTGACAGGCGCAGCGGCCTTAGGGCCTCTGAAGCGCCGCTGAGGCTGACAGCTGGTGGTGACTGGAGAGTCGCGTCTCATTAGGAAAGAACGAGAAACGTGCGACGGAACTGTGCTTGCTTGTCACGCCGCCTGCCCGTTACAATGGCGTGCTGCTGGGGAGGACTTGACGGCGTGACTGGTGATCACGCCGGTGAGGCACCGCTGGCTGTGGTGAGAGATCTGAGACGCGCGGCACGCGGGTGGCTCGGCCGGTGCGGGCTGGCGCGGCCCGTCCTGCAGAGGACCACCGCAGCGGCGCGCGCGGCCGTCAGCCCGGCCTCGCAGCGGCGCGGGCCGTCCCATGGCCGTCCGCCGCCGCTGCTGCTGCGGACCAGTCCGTATGAAAGCCTACGAAAGGCGAGATCTGCCCAGCACAGCTTCCGATGTCTTGTGCTCGGTTGGAGCGCTGCTGCTTAGACCCGTCCTATATCCAGCTCCGTTGCCACACGGGCCCCTGTAGTGTTGCGGGTTGAGCAGCTGTGGTGCCTCCTTTTTCCACCCTCTGTGCCCGCTTGGTGGCTGGGGTTTGGCAGTGACGTGGCATCTCTGGTAGGTTAGCGGACTCGGGGCTGTGCCGTGCTTAGCCGCACACAGCTGATGGGCGCTGCTGCGGTATCAGGGGTCCGTGAGGACGCCTTCACAACAGCGTCCCTGGCATGGCGTAACGAGTCCACGGCGTTCTGGCACGAGGAGAACTGTGAGTGCTGTAGCGGAAGTGCACTGTTCTGGGCGGGCGGTGCCCGTGTATACGCAGTCGAGTCTAGGGCAACGGGTTGAATGAAGATCATGAACCATTAATGTGTGAAATATTTTCTATATACGGCTTGCGGGTGCCGTCTCCCAGTTCCCGGAGGTAGCTGTGTGTTCAGCCAGGAGCTTTAAGCCTTGCACGCGCTGTCCCGCGCGGGATGGCCGCCCGGGCTGAGTGGGCGTTCAGGCGCGCCTCGGGTCGTGTGATGGGGTTGGCACGTGTGTGGGCGGCGCACCGGGCTGCTTTGGATCGGGCTGTCGGGGAGGAGCTGTGGGGTCTCGTTGGTCTAACGTTGCCCCTCCCGTAATTTGCGTACAATATTCGGTCGGCGGCCCAATGCACTGGCCGTAGGCCACCCCATCACTCGCTTTCACTTCTGTCTCCGATCTGGGTCTGGATCTGGATCGATCGGAAGAGGTCCCGCTGTTCCAAACATCGGGGCGCCGCGAAATGTATATCAAGTACCCAAATTGTCGTACAAGTTGTTTGCTATATTTTCGCAAATACATGCTCGATACAGTACATCAGCGTCCGGCCGTCGGCGGCGGCTTTCCGCGCCGAGCCGGGGGCCAGCGAGCCGCCGGACAGCAAGGCCGCAACATTATACAACAGAGGCGCGCGAGCGGCCGCGGAGCGTGGCCCGGACATCCGGCCGACCGCAACAGCGATCGACGTGCAGGCATGACTCCAGGCGTTGCCAGCCCCGCCCGGGGACGCCGCCTTCGCAGCCCCTCCAGCCTGCTCCCTCGCGTTTGGTCGATAGGGCGCCGGCGGGGGGACGGTCTGCCGCCGCCGGCGCCAGCGCAGGGGAACACCCCGCCCCGGCGGCGGCCCTCGGCGCCCCGCGCGGAACAGGCGGCTCGCGGGCCACGCCGTCGCCAACAGAAAATACGGAAAGACAGGAGTAACTGAAAGACGACAGAGAGACAACGCAACACAAGCGGATAACTGAGAAGTAGCGCCGCGCTTCGGGCCCCGGCCCCGTCCCGAAACCGGCAGCGACCACAGCGCGTCGCCAGGCCCAGCTCAGATCGCCCGAGGGTCAAATTCCTGGCAGGTGTGCGTCGAACAGGCTGACACCAGACGTCTGGTGACGCGGACCGGGCCGAGCTCGAGACAGACCACCTCCAGCTGACCCTGGGCCCGGTCGGTTCGGTCGCGATCGCTGACCAGTGTAGGACGGCACACGGATTTCGAACCAAGGCGACACCGAATAATTACAATCGGCTGGCTGCCGACCACGCAATCCATCTACAGATAAATGCTCGGGGATTCCGTGTCGCTGTCAAGTCATCACGAGAAATCACAGAATAACACAGGCGGAGCCGCGCGGCCACAGAAATCGTCGGTAGCCTTCACGGCTGACGAATACCAGAAAGCTACTTCAAATGGATGCGGGCATCACACAGCGTGCACGAAAGTAACAATAAACACGTGCTGGTACGCCAACACCGCGTCATCCGTCAGCGCTGCATTCAACGCACCCGCAAAACCCTACACATAGGTTCCTCGTTCCGCTATGTCGGTAAGTACTTCCGATAACAACTGACCGGTCGTGGCATTGCTTGGATAGATGACAACGCTGCCGCACGTCGCCGCTCGCCGCGAGGAAGCCGCGCACTCCTGCCCTGCACTACAACACGATATCACGAGTCGGCGACTCCGGGCGCGTTCGATGCCGCCGACCGGCCGGGCCGTCTCAGTCCGCACATCCCGCGGCTGGTCAAGGCATCCCGCCGAATACGACAGGTCAACACCGGAAACTGGCCGGCCGGCCGGCCGCTGCGAACGCTCCGGCTACCAGCGGAGACTCCGGCACTGGCTGCCGCGCGCAACGGCGGCGCGCCCCGGCGCGGCACCGAGCGTGAGGATTATCTCCGCCTTCCTGAGTCGGGGGTGGGGGCGGACCGACGGCCCGCCACTCCAGCGGTCACGCGGAGGCGGTGTAGCACCGCTTCAGAGTACACAATAACGCCGCAGGCGCGCACGTTCGGGAAGGAACGCCGGCCGGAGCACGGCACCTGTAAAATATCGCCTCGCCTTATCGGTGCTGCAACCAAGAGCCACTGCCTGTGCAGGAGACGTTGGGTACAGGGCTGAAACTCGAGGATCTCCCACCGAGTCCCTACACTGTAGCCTGACGGTCAACTGTTTACCGCAAGGTCGGACTTTTTAGAGCCCCGTGAGGCTCTTTAACCGAAGCTCGTTTTAACCCTCACCGGAATATCCGACTTGTCTATACCACTCACTCGGCGTTTATCTCCAAAGATAAAGCTTCGGGGAAAAGCGTATTGCTATGTTTTCTGCCTTTCCAATGACATCGTAGGTTGCCTCCTTGAATAAAGCTTTGACATTACGGGATAAGCCAAACCAGAATATTTGAAAATATTTGGACGAATACATCACACAAAGTAAAAATGTAACACGATACCTACAAGTGAAGCGCCAGGATGTGTAGGTTCTAGCCCATCCGATAATGTGCCGTTAGATGCCCAACCGCGAAAGCTCAGCCAGTACCTCGAATGAATCTGCCTCCGGAGTAACGAGCTGAACTAATCACGTGCGGAGGAGTGAGCAAGCACCCGAAAACCAATGGTTTCAAAAGACAATACGAACAGAACGTTTAAAGATTGGTCGCCCCAGTATCCCGGTAAAATGCAGCGCCAGAATTCCCTACCCGGTGTGGAAAACGGCTTCCGGGTGCTCTCTCCTTCAGTGACCGCGCCGAATGACGCGCGCAGCCAGCGTAAACGTGCCCACTCGGTGCTACGCTCGCCGGCGCCGTAGCCGCTGCGAAATCGCTGCCGCTGCGGCGAATTCGATTGCACGCCCGCTGCAGCGGTTGGCCGCGGTCGTTCCGAAAGGAAAGCGTTCGTCGCAACGCGCATGCGACCGCGCCAGACGAACGTGGGAAGGGCGCGTCCATTAGTCGGGCGATGGCCGCGTCCGTCACAAGCTGCGGTCAGAAGTCCAGAGCTGCACGCCCACGCGGCGAGCTGACCATGTCCAGTAGGTGGGCTGGCCCGGGTCGGGCAGGGCCGAGCCGAGCAGAGCCGAGCCGAGCCGGCGGCCGGGCCGGGCCGGGCCGGGCCGGGCCGGGCCGGGCCGGGCCGGCGGGCCGAGCCGAGGCCGAGGCCGAGCCGGCCGAGCCGAGCCGAGCCGAGCCGAGCCGAGCCGAGCCGAGCCGAGCCGAGCCGAGCCGAGCCGAGCCGAGCCGAGCCGAGCCGAGCCGAGCCGAGCCGAGCCGAGCCGAGCCGAGCCGAGCCGAGCCGAGCCGAGCCGAGCCGAGCCGAGCCGAGCCGAGCCGAGCCGAGCCGAGCCGAGCCGAGCCGAGCCGAGCCACGCCGGGCCGCGCCGCGCCGGGCCGGTGGCGGCACTAAAGCGGCCGGCCCAGCTGTCCCGGCTCGGGCACGACAAACTGACGGATGCTGGACAGATGTTTGCTGAGCTCGGCCTGCAGGATCTGGGGCGGCGTGGATCTGCGAGCGCGCCAGCTCGCCCAGGCCGGCCAGCAGCTCCGCCGAGCGCAGCCGGTGCAGCGTGCGGATCTGGCGGCCGGGACGGGACGCGGCGGTCAGCGGCCGGCCGGCACCCGGAGACCGGCGCGGCACCGCCGGGGTGCAGGTAGTGCTGGGCGCGGCGCAGGTCACAGGCTGCTCACCGGACACACCGGGCGGGTACAGTTGACCCGTGCAGAGGCGGACCGCACAGGGTGCAGCGCGACATACAATATAAAAGACGGCACGAACCGCCACGGACCACCGCAGACGACCACAGCGATACCGATGGCAAAAGGTATGCACGCAAAGGTATCACGGACCACACGCGGCAACTGCTCCACACAGCAGCACTTCCCGCGTAGGGCACGGTGGACAGGACCACACGCCGCGTGGGAGACCGGCAGAACCGTCACTTTCCTATTCGTGACGAACGACGCCCGTTCTACCGGTGGCCGGCAGCGTCATGCATGTCGACTCGGCAGAACTGAGTCACACCAGCCACGAAGCAGAGGGCAAACGCTGACGCTTGTGCGCCGCAAAAACACACACAGACCGCCGACAATCAGCAAATCGCTCAGCTGGCGGGCTGACAACACAACCCAGAGTAGGGCACCGCTTACGCCTGGCATATGTTGCGCCGCCGGGACCCCGCACGTCACAGCTGGTAACGCGATTACATAGCTCGGGGAATGTAGCAACCAACCCGCAGGCGGAACTACATGCTGATGAGGTGGTGCCGGGCGGCAGCCGGCCATAGGAGAGGGGCGGGGGAGGGGGGGGGGGGTACGTATCGGAGCACTACCTCGCTCCTCTCCTACCTCGCTCTTAGCGGTGTCGGAGCACTCTTCGAAGACCTCTTCCGCCCTCTGCTTGGCCTCCTCTGCCTGCGAAAATGATCAGCACGCGTCAGCGGGCGTCCTGCGCTTCGGCCGTGGCGGGGCTTCGGCTCGTCCTAGTGACGACAGGGGACACACGACACAAACACGTAACGTAAGGAAGCCAAACTGCAGCAACGAGCACTAGTGTTCCAGGTGGCGCCAGGTGACCAATCATGAGAATCCCCAATCGCGCAAGCCCAGTCGGCGTGACGCCTTCAGCCAGACTGGTGAGAAGTCACATAAGACCCCCGTGAAGCGCACCTCATCGGCACATCACCTGTTCCCATCTGCCCGCGGATTGGGGTGCTCTGGTTCGGGCAGGGAGACGGGAGGGGGGGGGGGGGCAGGGGGCACGGGACGGGCGGGGCCACCCGAAGGACCCGAGCGCACTGAACCGTGCAGTGTGGACCAACCGAGCCCCCGAGCCAGGTCAGACGCCGGCCCAGGACGAGGCCGGCGACCTTGGCGCCACCTGAGCGCGGGAGAGGAAAGCGCCACGCCGCCTGTGACCCGGCCCTGTCCTGCCCTCTGTCGGGGGCGCGGCGCGGCGCACCACCCGACCCACCGCCGCCGGCCGGCGAGCGGCGGCCGAGCGTGACCGAACGGGGCAGCGTAACTGTCTGCACCGGCGGCGGCATGTCGGCCCGCCGATTAATGCACAGCACGGGCACCCAGCGGGGCGACCGGCGTGTGGTTCATGTGGGTCAGAGCCGGGTCGAGTTCCCATGGCCCGAGCCTCCGCTCTGTGTCGGGTTCGATCAAAAAAGCCTCGGATACGGCTAATAGCCGCGATCAACGAAAATGGGCCGTTCTCGCGATGCAGGACACGAAGTGGGCAACTGGGCCGCTCATGAGAGCCGACACAGGGGAATTTAAAACCATGAGTATGACAATTCCATGGCGCACTCGTGCTGAAGCTCACGGGCGCACCACTCGGTAATCAAACGCGACATTATACCGTGCCGAACTGCAAGCAAAGCTGTTGTGAGACCAAGCTGTCATGCCGCTGCCAGGGTTGTTTGCGCAACAACAATGAAAGGGCCACTGGACAAAGTCGACATTGAGGTGAGCCTCCTCAGTCGGAACGCACGTGCTCTTTGTCCGGGCATTGTTGTCGTTGGCACAACAGGTCTGTCCTGTGCCCCTGCCTTCGCCAACAAAAGTCGGACAGGCCACGTCGCTTCAGGGGGGCGCTCTGCAAGTTATGCCACGTCCGGTAGATCTGGACACCATGAGCCTTGTCTGATTGTGCTCCGATTGCGCCCGGCCAGACTGCATCGAGTCGGGTTCGTCGCACGCCGGCTGAACAGCGCATAATTTGGCACGGTCACGTTCTACCCCGTGCGTCAGCTCACCGCTGTTCACCGGCAAGCACCTGAGCTCCGTCCAGCTGCCCGGCTTTTGCAGCTCAGTGACCAGCGATCGACGGCACATGGCGGGCCCCAGGTGAACGGAAGCGGTCGAAAGCTCGTTAGCGGTCCTGTCGGCCGGCAGCGCTCGGGCGACTCCGCCGATCGACGGACCCGCCGCCGGAACACCGGCTCGCATTCAGCCACGTCACGGCCGGGCCAAACAACGGCAGTCAACGCAACCCCAATTTCCTCACTGTTCCACGTGATTCGGTATGGATTACATCCGTCAGCTGGACAGAGATCCTGGTTAGGAGGGAAAGGGCCGGGAAGGCCGCCACTAAATGCATACAAAGGATTAACGGAAAGAGTGATCCGGCGGTAACAAAAATGCCCTTACTTACACAATTGTACGCTTGGCAAGTTCCGGCGTACCCGAGGACGAGTCCGTGGGTCCCTGGAGACGGGACTCGTGAGTCTGTCAGTCAGACGCCGCGGCTCAGCCCCAACAGTCCACCACCTCCAGTCCACGGGACAGCGGGCCCGAGTCCGCCGGGCCCGCGTCGCGTGACCTGACCCTTCCGCCGGCAGGTCGGCGAGCGAGCGCACCCGTCATCCGGTGACGTCACGCCCTGCGCGGCCGTGGTGCAAGCGGCACACGTCGACCGCCCGGCCCGCCGGCGCGGCGATAGAAAGCGCGCGAGGCGACACGCTCTGCCCAGCTGCGGTCGGCGCGCAGGTCGGCGCCGCCCCGCCGGCCCGCTCCCGGTCGCGCCGAGTCAGGTCGGCACGCGTCCACTCCCGAGAGGCCCGGCACGGAAGGTGCGGTCAGGTGTGACGGGGGTCGAGCGCGGCCGGTCGACCAGCCCACCCCAGAGGTCAGCCGCGGCTCGGCGGGTCGGGGCGGACGGCGGGGAGACGGGCCGCCCGCCCTCCCCGCAGGCGGCGTGTTTGGATGCAATCTGCATATGTTTAAGGTGTGTACAGTTACACAAAGACCGCCAGGCGGTTCCGCCCGCCCTCAAGCGTCATCAAACCGTACACGAACCGAGTATGAAGGAACGGTGCTCAGCTTCAACCGACGGCGGCACATTCCACTATCGGCGTCATAATCTGCAGCGGGTGTTAGCCTACCCTGGAGAAACGCCCGCCCGCCAACCTACCAGGCGCGCTGCCCCGTACCACGCCACCACGCGGGCTCGAGCGCGGCTGGGAAGGTCACGCAACAGTGAAGAGACAGACGGGATCACGCCTGTCCGGGCGAGGGAACCGAATCACCTTGGTCGGGCCGGAACAGCATGCAGCTTCTAGCTGGCGCGTTTTCCTTGAGCGCCGGACCCGCCCAGTCGGTCCAGACCGCAGAACGTTCCCAGCAGACGGCGCGACCCCGCCCACCTGCACACGGTCGGCCTCCGGCGAGAGGACGCAGGGTCCTCGGCTCGCCCCACGCGCACATACCAAAACGTGGCCTCTGCCCGTCCCGCCAGCTAACCCTCGCCCCGATTCGCCGCTTTTCATAACGCAGACTGATAGGCAGGAGGGATGCGACCCCCTGGCGTTTCCAAACCAGTCACGATAGAGCTTAGCGGAAACACCAGTGGATTGGTCCCAACGAGATCTCGCTGATACTAGCTGAGTACTAGTTAGTATCGCATACTAGCTTGGTTCTATTTTGATGTTGTTAGATCGTATCTTGCTAAGCACTAGCTTGTATGTTGGACCCAATTTCGCCCATTATCATTACGTATATATATATATATATATATATATATATATATATATATATATATGTACATAATTCTGGCCCGATAATTAAGTTGAATGTCAGCTACCAGAAGATCGTACTTTTTCAGCTTTCCAACATCATACATACGAGATCACGCCACGTGGCGATACAAAACCCAAGCAGTGTCGGCCCGCCGCGCGCGTTCCGCGGCATCGCCGGCTGCCACCCGCCCCCGCCCCCTCCCCGCCCGCCGTGCGCCGTTCCTAAAAAACGCCGCTGCTCAGAAACCGGAAAGGCTCGGAACACGTCTTTGGTGGCGCACAATAGATGTCCCATGGGCTACTGAAAATTTGGGCGCGATTGCACATAATGTCGGAGAGGTATCTTTCAAAAACCTTAGGAGGGTCGCATCGAGCAGAGCTTGGGATCTTCCTTGGTTATGTTCAATATAAATTGCAGAATCTCTTGTAAACATAATCGAAGTTTTTGTCTTTACAAACTGCTTCTCTTTTCCAACCAGATTGTCCCATCTTCCTCTTCCTACACGAAAAAACTGCGCAGCTCCGCACTAGGTCAGCGATAGAAAGGCAATGCTTCATAATCGCATTACTCGGCTGAAATCAGCCCTCGCTCCGCCCCGGCGTGTGGTTCCGTGCCGATGCCTTGAAAGTGAGCGCGGAGACCAGCCAGGTCATCGCGTCCGGAGCTCGACAGCCTGACCCGCAGTCTGGCCGACATTTCACCTGGGCCGACACCGACACTTCACCGCAAGCTGAACAGCACGCTCGAGAACACCAGGCCAGCTCGCAGGCTGCTGTTTCAGAATAATGACGTGCCCAAGCTCGCCGATGCATGACCTCAACCAACATGCAAAACACCACCCAACAAACCCCAACTGTTTCGAAAGCTATGCTGGACGCCGATGCTCTCACAGATGAGACGATGCATTTCGGCAGGCACAAACAGCTCGAAGAGAAGTACGAGAGGTCCAAACGGTCAGACCATCATCAGGGTCCCGGTTATTTCCGAACGTGGGATTTTCCAGCACGGCAGGTTGTGTGGCGTTGGGTCGGTTGGCTTCGTCCGGACGTCCTGTGTGACGTCAGGAGTCGCTAACTGGTGAGGACGAACCTTTTCCTTCATCGTCTTTTGCCATGACATAAATTTTTTAACTTTCCGCCCTCATCAAACGGATGTTTTAAAAAGCAAAGGAGCGCAAACGACAGTTTAATCTGGCATTGTTTGGTTAGAACTTCAGTCTTTCAAGATGCGCATACTATCTAGTTTCTCGTACTGCCGTGCACAACACAATGTCGATGGTCACAGCTTGCTGAACATGCCTTGCGATCACGTGTTTGTTGGCGCAAAAACCTACTATCCCTTACAAAACGTAATTTCTTCACGGTGCTCTGAGACCCATCCATGGCCATTGCGTAACGCGGTCGCATGCCCGGTCCTTATGCTCCACTGCTTCTGTAGCGTCCACGCTACCTGAATGAGCGTTACAACAGATCCAATGCTAAGCACTAGCTTGTACGTTGGGCCCAATTATGCCAAGTTCAATGTCAGTTTCCAGAAGATCGTACTTTTTCAGCTTTCCAACATCATACATACGAGATCACGCCACGTGGCGATACAAAACCTAAGCAATGTCGGCCCGCCGCGCGCGTTCCGCGGCGAAAGGCTCGGAACACGTCTTTGATGTCGCACAATAAATGTCCCATAGGCTCTGCCAAAACAACGTCAAAACCAAAATGCGCACAAGCATATATTCGCGCATGAACATACGCACACATACATGCTCACAGGCCTGCGGACAGGAATTCGCACGCGTGGCCCCGCACAGCCTCGAGCGCAAGGGCAAGTACGGCTCAAGAGGTCACGAGCGCGGGCGCACGCGTGGCATGGGCCCGTGGCACCTTCACAGCGTC